TTTTCTGAAGACACTGGACAAAATGCAGAGTTATCTGACCACTTTAAGCTGCAATGCATGTTCAGGATGCGATTCACTTTCTCTAAATGCAAAATGTTGCTTCAGGATTGAATTGCATCGGTGCTGGAATGAGTGACAGAGAGTGAAATAGTTGAGCATGTCGACTACTTCAATTATTTCGGTTATTTAATTACAAGCAACTCGTAATATGAACCATTTAGCTCAACGATTTGCATAATCTCCCCGTATAAAAAACCAAATTACTGGTTCGAAATTGGTATCCGAAATTGTTACTCTCATCTCTAGGTATACTTAAACTATTACGAGTTCACCTCAGACGAATAACGAGAACAAAACAATGAACCAGCTTCCAGGTGGACTACTGTGATTCTTTGACCAAATTAAATCAGTAAGAAGTCTTGATATAGTGTAGAAATTTTATTCTACAAACACCCAACAAGCACACAATGAATCCAAGCACTCAAATTGCATTTATTTATACTCTATAGAGACGTCCTTGGGACAGTCACAAAAATAGCACACTGCAATGACACAGTAACCAATCACGGACAAGGATTTTCCTGGTGGGAAATGTGATGTCAAGGTCAACTGATCGGTCCATAAATAAAATCCAAAATAAAGATATTTATCAAGCGAGTTCTGGGGATCTAACATCCCCAAAAAAAAATAAAATGAACTTACTAAATGATTTGTTACATTCTACAGTGGGGATGCACTTTTCCGTATTGTTATTCTTGTTCTATGAAAGAAATGATAACGTTTGGATCATGTAAATAACAGTTTAGGTATAGTTGTGCTAAATTATTAATGAAAATCACAAAATACTTTTTATGTTTATTACTGAAATCATGAATCCATCATTGTTAGACTAGCATTCGAAACCTGGAAGCATTGGACGACCGTTTCTTCCTGATATGGGACTAATCAGAAGTGCACATCCACAACTTCCACCATTGTCAGGATTAAAACTCAGGACCTTCGGTCTTGTGCGCGAACGCCTAACCTGTGGACCATTGAGCGGTGGCAATGTCTAACTCTGATGATGATTTGGCACAACCTCACCCATTTTTCTTTGGTAGTTGCTGCCTCCACCCACCAGAGTTGAACTCCACTGGTCACGTCTTCTCACTAGAACTCCGAGAATTTCCTCACGAAGCTAGTCACTAATGAGCACACTGTACGATTTTTCATTATAGAGTTATGGAGATTGTTGTTTATGACTGATATCATGAATCAATCATTATTAGACCACCAATAGAAATGAATCCCATAGCAGGACGAAACGGCTCTCCAGTGCTTTCAGGTTTCTAACGCTGCTCTAACAATGCTTGATTCATAATTTCAGTAAGAAACACTGATCTCCATAACTCTTTAATGAAAAATTGTTATTTTTAGCAAAGAAGTAGGGAACTGTTAAGAAGTAATAAGTAGCTAGTTAATAATGTAATGATACACGATCTATGACCATTACAGCTAATTTCGTTTGTGTAGCCGCGTAGTATTATTAGCCATCATACAAGCAGTGTAGCTTGAAGCCAAGTACATAATTTTGTACTATCGGTTAATCAGATAGCTAATTTTAAATTAAGTTGTGTAAAATATATGAAACGGTTTTACTCTTCCTGTTTTTGGCACATAGGACTGCAGTTGACTAGTCATTATTGGTATGTTCGTCTTGAGCTCATACTCTCGTAGTAAAGACTTGTCATATACTGGTTCGGGTGCCAATGTGAACATAAGTACTGAAATATAAGGCGAGACTCACTATGGAGTTCCATGTAAGAAGGGACATCTGTCCTGGATTTCACTGCTGGTCAAGATTCAATTATTATAATTCTTAAAATGTTTTAGAGTTCAAATCGAACAGTGTAATGCGAGATTGGAATACAGATTATGTAGGTGCCGAATTCAAACTCCTGGTTATAGCTGTTACTTTGAAATGGTGATCAGTTTTGTCCTCACTGATGGCAAGATCTTAAAAACACAGATCAAACACATCAGGAACCACTCGTATGCATAATCATCATTGTCTTAATCGATTTATTCATACTTAAAATATTTGTGAGGCTATAAACAATGGTATTATAAAAGTGTACGGTAAAAAAACAATCAATTCTACACAAAGAACTTACTTTTAAATGATCACGAGATAAATGTTCCTCTGATGAAAGGTGTGAATAACTTTTCAAAACTTTCTTATTCATATGATTATATAACCTTGAGGAAGTAGACAAATGAGATTTCGGACGACCACGATGTCTTTTAAAAGAATGACCGACAAGTGGCTGTACGGTTGGCGGAATATTGCGATGAGAATCGCTATGATGTTTAGGCGAAAAATGAAATTTATGATCACTTAATTCATTTTGACTATGTGTGTGTAACTTTGAAGATCTTTGAAAGGGTTTCACGCGACTAATCTGATTCATTTGAGCTTCCACACTTGTTAAATCGCCAATTTCTTCTGAAGTTAATCCGCCAGGCATATCTTTACTAGCTTTTTGTAAAGCTGAAAAAGTCATTTGTTTGCGACAAAATGCCAAGAGCTGAACAAAATGGAAGAAAGAGAGATTGTTACAAACACGATTCAGTGAAATGAACTTTGTGGATTACAGTACTTTTTTAAATCAAGACTACATATGGGTAACGATTATTCAGATGCAGGAACTAAGTAGATAAAATGGAATTGAATAAAACAAATAGTCGAGGAATCGGACTACACCGGATGTTGATTAGTATGTTTTAAAACGCGACAAAGAGTAAATAATAAGTCAGTACATGTACAGCTAGGTTTGGAGGCTGCATGAATCTCTCAGGTTTATTGATCCCTAAAAGCAGTTGAGAATCGGATAATCTTGGACACTATTAATTAGACTGACTGACCTACGGTTATTACAAGACTATTGTCCGATTAACAGTCCTCAGATGTCATCCATTAGAAGTTAGTTAGTTAGCCACAACGTAGAACATAGCACGTACGTAAATCAGTTCAAGTTTCCATACCATATTAATAAAGAGAGGAAATTGTCAGGTTAAATCCCAGAGTAGTAAAAGTCTCGTCGAGGCAGGCAGTGGTTGAACATGCCTCTATCAGTTCGGTTTATGAAAATTTACTACCTGATAAATTTTAAATAATGAATCTTAGTGGAAATTAGGACTGTAAAAAAGCATCTTCATCTAAATACTCTAGTAAGAAAAATGTTATCTTAATGAGTAATTACATTGCTAGAGGTATTAAAATAACAATCAAAACACTGTTTCAACACTCACTTTACGTGCACGTTGATAATAAATGGTATCCGGAGGATTATAAACCATTGCATTGTTACACATTAATGTGACATCAGCAAGATATTCTGTAGCAGATCGATAATAAGCCCGAGATTTAAGTCTGTTGTATATTGTTCCAAGATCCATGGGTTTAGAAATCACCTAGCATAAAAAACGGAAAATAATATTTATCGACATACAATATTAAAAAATCGAGTTAGATAAATTAAAAATTCTATGCAAGTATAAATGGAAGTATTTCACACGGATATTATCACATAGGTTACATTCATATTTATTAAGGACTTAATAACAGTACGAAATACTTTGTACTACTCTCCTAGAAGCGTAATGCTTTGACAAGGAGCAATAGTATCCTAAAAATGTGTACGCTTAAATATAGTTAGGAAAACAATGAGTAATGTATTACTTAAAGTTGAAACTATTCTAAAATGCACTTGAAAAGAAAGGATGACAATTGAAGTCGAACATATATTGGCAATTTCACTTAATCTTTCATAGATGAATCGGTCTAAGCACTAATGGATATTGCCATAAATAGGGTCAATGGAACTCAGTAATTGTGTTGAGCGAAAATGAAGAACGATACTTTGGTGTTTTATTAGGAGAAAATTGAGGTTTCAAGACTGAGACTACATTATCAAAACAGTATATGCTATTTCCAGAAATGGTTGATTATCAGAATTTTTTAACTAAAGATATATATAAACGCCATTACGATAGATTTTGGGCCACACTCTTTAACTTTCCCACTGATTGGTTACGACGACTGCGGGGACTCCAACCAGGAAAACCTAATCTACCAAGATGACTCAGTTCAACCGTCAATGACTTTATGGACTGGTGACACTTCTTAGCTTTTAGGTGCATATATTTTTATATATCACCACGTGAACAAACATCGCACATAGGGGCGAAGGGTGATTGATCATAAGTAATACATGTTTAGGCCACTTTAGTCAATACAGGTTTCCAACTTTATCGGTCGATTTCTTTATGTTTACCCAGCACCCTTTATCTAACACCAGCACTGTTCACTTTATGGTCCCTCATATGCAACCTATGAAGACAACTAAAATCGGAAACTAGTAACATAGTAATAGAATTATTAATAGTAGTCAGTATACTTTTAAAGATCACGTTTTATATTTATAAAGTAGACAAGAATAAACTTCTGAGTAGATCCGGATTTTAGTTAACAGACGGATATCTTATGCACGGCATATTTGATGCAGATTGGCAAAAGTCAAACACTGCAAGCAACTGTCATAGTTGCCTTATAAAACTGTTAGTGTAATCGCAATACATGCGCAGCAAAACAAGGGTGTAGCATGTTTTTTAAGTTTTGATTTACGTATTAGGCTTTGGGCTAAGATAATTATATGATAGATACTGATATAAACCGGCTCTTCAGCAAGTAGATAAAACGCATTTCAAATGTATAGCTTCTAACTAACGCAAATAAGAAAAACTGACTGACTTGGAGTTAGCCAAGAATGACTTATAAGATCAACAATCGTACCATTTTCAAGTAAGCCAAAATTTTTGCTATCACATTTGAAAGATTACCAACTTTCACCACTTAAGTGTAATTTTTGACAGAATATCAGCATCAACTTTGTAAGCTGAAAAGTATCTCAGTACCATTCTGCGCACGTGCGATCTAAATTTTTGACATTTAGATTTGATTTTTATCACCATTAATATAATCTATTGTCGTGTAATTAATAAAGTATTAGAACACTTCAAGAATGTAGTGTGACAAATACGGTAAAGTACAACTTCAGATGAAACTATTCGAAAACTAAACGGAATAGCAAGGAAAAAACGTCAAATGACAAACCTCTGAATATCCGATAGCGATATCGTCAGTTACAGGGTTGGCAAAGATACCACGCGGATCTCTGCGGACCAGATTTTGGTGAATTTCATTTAGCACAGTATATAGATTTCTACTTGTAACTTCAGTCAGAATATCACGCTCTATGATAAAAGAGATCATATTGTTTACCAGAAAATAAAAACATGATGAGGGTGAATTTTTAGCGACTAAAATTGGGTTGGAAAATTATTCAGCATTTGTCGACAGGATGAGGATTGAGTTTGTTTTATGATAAAATATAATGCAGTAATAAGAATTAGAGAGACTTACAAGTGACGACAACTATTGTATCTCGAAATATTGGTCGTTAAATGGTTTTATGCCTACGCCATGCACACTAGACTATTTTTTTCGCAAAAACATGATTATATATTCACTTAGGATGTGGTTGTAGTTGATTGATGCCTTTCCTGCGACATATCGACTCATAAGTCCTCTTTTCGGAATCTTAATCAATAGCAGAAATGGGACCAAGGGAATCGACTACGCTGCTGAAGATTGCTCAGTATCCTCAGTAGGAATATGATTCCAGTACTAAGATTCATATACACTATCAGTCTGTTAGAACACGTACCCAAACCCCAAATAGTTTAGGAAAAGCTTCTCATCTCTCGGAAATTCTGTAAAAATTAAAAATTTTGCAGAAAAGAAGGACCAAGTGCAGAATCTTCACAGAATTCGTAAATTGCATGTTCATAATACTACCGACCGTTTGAATTGAAAGATCTGTTGAAGAAACTGGGTCGAAGATACTAAGTTCTTTAATTGAGGGTATAAAATTGCAAGGAAGCATAGTCTGATTAGTTTTTAGAAATAAAAATCCATTACAACGTAATCAGTCAGAAAGGAAAGTGAAACCGAATGCAAGAAAGAGTCTTAAGGCAACATACCTGGACTAACTGAACATTCTTGTGAACATTTCGCTCCGGAAAATGATATCTTTAGCTTAAGGGCATTATCAGAATCCGCAACACAATGTAGTCCACCGGAGCTCATTTCATTTAGCATAACTGTAACGCTACATGTATTTCTTGCGCTGTTATTAGGGCAGATTCCAAAGATCAATATTTTTTACAAGCTGGTGTAAACCAATCGATTCTTTCCATTCGATTTTTGTTCACTCAGTGAGGTTCCAGGTATTTGTTAACTTCCTATAGATGGCAGTCTAGTCAGTCTAATCAGATAGCAGTTATTGATGAAATTCTATGTCCCATGATTTGAATGAGTAGGTTCGTTTTCAGGGCAACAGAGTTTCAGGATTCCAGTAGCTATCGCTTCATCGGGATAGAGGATGGAATAGTCGAGATGGATCTAGGTGTAAATGATGAAGATTTCTCCTGGCGAGTTTCCATATCGAGTAATAGTGGAGCACCGATTACCCCAGCTAGGAAACTAGGTATAGTTAGCTAGCATAAGGGAAATATTGGTAAATTATAGTGAAATTTTGCGCTGCCTGCCTAATAGTACGGCAAGTTTTCTTTTTGAAGGGCCCCTGAAAAGTAACTGAACCACCCTGAACAGTAATGAGCTACAGAATTTGACCAATTGTAGGGATCAGAATGTGGGCTTTCATCTATTTCGTTAT